AATCATCCAATTCAAAGATGACCTGGGAGGAAAAGAGACTTATAAGAGCGGTGTGACAGGAGCAAACTTTGGGTAAGATACCGAAGATTAACTAATTTGTTATGGCTTGGCTTGCAGCAGAGACATAACGATCATATCCATGGTTAGCCTGCGTGGAAATCGTTTCCGCTCAAGTGAAGACATGGCACGGGGAGAGGCAAAACAAAAACAAACAAACAAACAAACCTCCCCACTCCCCGTAATTTTCTCCTTATGATGCGTTTGGGCGGCTACCTCTTATTTCAAAAGACTGCCACACAGGCTAAATCATGGTCATAAATTGAATCATTATCATTACATCAAGATCTGTCGTAGCGGGCATCATGTACTTTGTTGACTTGCTTTATGTTTTTCCTTCGTCTTTCAGCCTTCGTTCAGACCAGTACCTATCTAAAAAGAGCCAAAAGGTAAAATGGAAGAGTTTGCTTTTATGACGAGGAGATCAATTTGTCTAATCCTTGTTTAGGAAATGTTGATTTTACTGTGTCCTGCTATAGAGCTACAATTGCTATCTTTTTCACCGTTTTGTTTAACGTGGCCTGACTTCCTCACTGGGCATATAAAAACGAGGGTGGAGGGGTGGGGGAAAGGTTAAGACCCAGTGTTCTCGCGTAGAGTTCAGGTTTTGCTCAGAATGTATTCCTGTCAAAGTGTAACACACTATGACTGCTTCTGTAAGTTTGCTTACTCAGTTATTGTGTCTACAGCATTGCAATTTGTCTTTTTTTGTGATTATCATGCAGGCTGCAACAGCCACAAAGGAGTGGACGGAACAAGAGACACTCCTCCTTTTAGAGGTACTTTCACATGTCCATGAATTGTTAGCTTGTTAACTCCTTCCCACCGATATAGAACATCACAGGTTTCGGGAGCCTTTTTTTTTTGTCTTTGTGGTATTGTGAATCCTCTCGAAGACTTTAGCGGTTGAAAATATTTCAGAAATGTGTTATATGTCGTGATTTATTATTTATACAAACTGTACATGAAGATGTTCTCGTGCTTCAGTCCTCTCAACGATCCGAAAAATTTACTGTTGCCCCGCAGATTTATTCAGGACGCGCGCAGGTATTGTAAGGTCGCTTGGGTATCATCAGTCCAATCGAACGGGCTACGGAGCTTGTACATTCGCTAACCCTAGAAACTGTACCAGAGTCAGTTTCAAAGAAAAGTGCATATAAAGCTATATTTTGATGATGTATCCTTTTCAGGGCCTGGAAATGTTCAAAGACGACTGGAACAAGGTGGCTGAACATGTCGGAACACGAACTCAAGATGAATGTATCTTGCACTTCCTTAGGCTTCCGATAGAAGACCCGTACCTTGAGGATGTACAGTTGGGTAAGAGTCTAGATGCAAACAGTTATGATAATTAATGGCTCTGTGATTGGTGCAGAAAACTCGCGTTACTTCCTCAACTAATCACATTCAAAACTAGAACCAAGCGCGACTCGGTCAATCGCGTTTTCCTGCGCATCAAGCAGTTTGCCCGGTTTTTAGTCTGACTTCTCATGGACTCCTTGCGATACTGGTTTTTCTTTCCTCTGATTGATTGGCTGTTGCGATAACTTTGGGTTTGGTTTTTTATGACATGCGGTCGAAATGCGCTCTAATATTTACCATCTGACCAGTGGACTTGGTGGATAATTCGCTATCTAGCAGATAGCAAATTATGGGACAGTGTTAGTTCATTCTCAGAACCTGTCACTTTGACACTGCCACTGGAAAACATTTACTTGTTGAGATGGCGTGGAATTGCGAGAAGGATGTTGCATTATAAATTAGATATTGGTTACTTAATTGGAAGTGTTTATAATATCCCTCGCTTTTTGGTTTTGTTCAAAACTTTCTGTGTTATGCTGGTGCTTTCGACTGCTTCCCTAAAGTTCGTTGAACGACGGAGATGCTCAAGCATCACTTTTATGTTAGGTGTAATAGTACAAATGTTGACGATGTGGGTGTAAACTCAGTTTAATTCACGCCTATTCATTGTGGTTCTCTTTTTTTTAGGTCCCCTATCACACCAGCCCACGCCTTTCAGTCAGCAGGGTAACCCTATCATGTCTACTGTAGCTTTTCTTGCTTCTGTTGTGGATCCTCGGGTCGCCAGCGCTGCTGCTAAAGCTGCTCTAGGTGGGTAGCTGTTCAATTTAGTCTGTTATTTTGGCCAAATTAACAGTCCTGGTATGAGATAAGTATTTGACTTTTCTTTGACGTTATTTTTGTAAGTGACTGTCACGCAAGGGTGGATATCATTGCTTGCCATTGCAAAACCTTCCGTGACGAAAGTCGAACATTAAATTTGAAACACAACTCTTTTTGTCAATAGAGAAGTTCTCTGAGATGAAGGACGAGATACCGCAGTCAGTTATTGACAGCCATGTTAAGAATGCTGCAAATGCACGAGCGGAGAAAGTGAAGCAAGAAAACTCAGACGAAAGCAAAGGTAGCATGGACTGTTTTCAATCTCCTTGCTGTGTGGTTAGGTTTTTGAGCTTACACGTCGAAAATTTTACCTTTCTCTTACACATCACACTACATAGCAAAACTGATCGTGCAACTGTAAATAAATCCTTTAATTTTCCTTGTGTTATTCAGAAGAAACACCACAACCCATGGAAGTGAATGGAAGCCAGGCAACTGTCCCCGAGGGAGGAGAGACACGAGCTCAAGATGCAAAGGTCAGAGTTAAATGAAGATGAATTTTAAATTTATTTTTCTTGTAGCTATCGCTTATCTGGGAACGTTTTTGAAGCCTTTTGACTTTTTCCGTATCTTTGTTGTTGTTGTTGTTTTGTTTGTCTCCTTAAATACGAAAAGCGGGGAACCTGTTCGTCTGTTTGTTTGCCTGTTTGGTTTGTTTGATTGCTTGTTCACCCTTTCGCCGTACCCTTACGTAGCCAATACAATGTACTTGCGCTGAGAATCTCAACGGAAAAAAAAAACTGCTTCAATTTTGATTGAACAATTTACAACGAATGGATAATATCCTCGAGGAATCCATGAGGTGGTTCGCCCTGTTTGAGGATGTCCTTATCAGCATCAGCAAGTTTATCTCGCTCTGTAGTTGTACTCCGACCTCTGTCTATACAATCCGTAGATACGATGTTGTAAATAATTTTTGTCAATCTTTATGTTTCTCATCTCAGGCGGAAGAGTCTTCCGAGCCAAGTAGCCAAGCGCAGAACGGCGAGAAAACACCGGCTATAAACGAAGAAAACATCGCGAAGGCGGCGGCTTCAGCCCTAGCAGCCGCTGCAGTCAAAGCAAAGGTACATGAAACTAAGGAATGATCATAGGTGCTCTCTATTCTGATCGGCACAGTCGATAAGGCGGCCAACTTTAGTTTGTAGGAAACATGCCAAACGTTTCCTTTAAGTAGGCGTCTGAAAGCAAGGCACCTCAGATTTCTGAGACAAGATCGGGTTTCAGGATGCCCATAATGCTTTTGAGTGCACAGCTTTAAATCACACCGACCTGTTCTTAAACAATCGACAAATTTCCTCTTTTGACTCCAATCAAGATGGACCCTGTCCGTTGATAACCAAACTCAACATCATAAATTCAGTGACGAGAACGAGTACAACTTATATAGCCAACAGTGTGGCTACTGTTACCGAGGCTACTACCACAACACTAACCAATCCGAATACAGGAAACGAGCAAGAATGCCATCGAACTATTTTCTCATCTTAGCCTTCTTTGGTCCTAAGCTCTGGTCCCGTTTAGTTCATTCGATGCCTTCGTTTGTTTTCTCTAATTTAGTTGGTTTATTTTTCTCGAGTTATTGCGGCAACAGTAGGTTATTATGATATAATGTAGCTACAAAGTGGTTTTCGATTACGTGCACACTAAGTAAGCCGTGATCAGTGTTTGAGACGACTTTTAGTTCGTTGAGATGTCGATGACCTCATCCCGCTAATGGCTCTGTTTCCTCACAATGACAGACTATTTCATAGGATTTCCTAACACCTCGAGTTTTGTCAAAATATTCTGCCATGTGGTATTTAAATCACCTTTGTGCTCACCGTTTTCTTCTGTATGATATGATTAATATTTGGAACTATTACTGTTTGTTCGTCTAATCTGTTTCTGTCGCGGTTGCTTCTCCGATAGCATCTGGCGCAGGTTGAGGAGCGGAAGATTAAGAGTCTTGTAGCGCTTCTTGTGGAGACTCAGATGAAGAAACTGGAAATTAAACTGCGCCACTTTGAAGAACTTGAAACCATCATGGACCGTGAACGAGAAGCGGTAAAGCTGTTTTATAATTGTTAAAGTTAATTCAATAAGGAGATTATTTTGAATACCATTCCTCTGTATCTACCATTAATCATTTCCAAAAAGGGTTGAGTACAAAAAAGGGACAACGTATTGTCTTAAGCAATCAAATTAAAAAATGCAATCTGCTATTTAGTTTAGTAATTCTCTTAAACCCTTGACTCCTTCGAGTGACCAGCGTCTAATTTCTTCTGACAATGCCTCCCCAATCACACTTTAAGGCCACGAGAATAGAGGAAACGATCACCAGTGAAAGAAGCTCCTGATTGTTAAACAAATTCTCCTTGTCAGCATCCTTGGAAATATATAGTGTACCGTTTGGAGAATATTGGTAATGATGTTAGGGTTAATTGAGCACTCCTCATTCCTGGGTTGTTGTTGTTGTTTTCGGTTTCGATGTTACGTTTTCTTATTTTGTTTAATTGTCTGCGAATGGGCTTCCCGCGTAATTATGATAAACATGTTCTAATAACAAATGAAAGAATTGGATCTGTTGATATATTTTGCTCGTGATTTTTCCCTTCATCTTTCAACTTTTTTTTTTTGGTTTGGGGAGAGTTTTGCCGGGTTAGTGCTAGTCCCGTAGCACAAATTTTTCCGGCTCGCGTTTCTCACGGCTTTCTACTAAGGATCTCTGGCAGTTAGGAAGGCAACGCTAAGGAAGACGTCAATTTAAAAATGAACATATAGTTACAGTTGGAATCTCGTGAACGACTGTATGTGTTTACCATCTCTTACGGCGCCGCAAGTTAACCTCAGCATAACGTCTGAGCGCGGCGCTGAGTTCCAAATGGAAACTAAAGTAAATTGCCGTCGGGGTTTCCTTTCTCGGTTTACGAAAATTTTGATGATTTCACGTTGCTATTTTTCAGAGGACGGCGAAGAAATGTACGCTGTTTTAAAACGCGTGTGCTGAGCTATTCTGCTCATTAGTTCTTTTATTTTACCACGTCCTCGTTGCCGTCGCCGTCGTGATTTGCTAAAGGTCCCACACTTCTCACGAGGGAAGAAGCGCTGATGCTGAAGTGCTAGAAATAAGGGCCTGCTCGTATTGACATAGGAAAAGGATTCAACTGATTAGAGACATGTTCCTAACGAAACAGTCCGCAAGCAGAGCGTGCTCCTGTTTCATGGACAGGCACAGCTCCCCTTGTTCGACTCAGTGTGCCTGTGGCTCTTACTAACCACTCTCCATGTTATATTTTCTCACTAGTTGGAATATCAGCGTCAACAGCTACTTGCTGAACGACAACAATTCCATCAAGAACAACTAAAGGCCGCCGAGCTGCGCGCTCGAGCTTCTGCCGGTCACCTTTCCCCGTCAGCTGCCTCTCCTGCGCAGCTGCAACCACAACCACAGACATCCCAACCTCAGCTGCAGATCCCACCACAGCAGCAACAACAGCAACAACAACAACAGCAGCAGCAGGCACAGGCACATCAACAGCCAAAGCTTAGGCATTCGCAGCAAGCCCCGCCCACGGCTCCTCATCCAGGTGCCACCAGCCAAGCGCCACAAGTCGCCAGCCCCGCACCACAAGGTAGGAAACTCACAGAAAAAAAGAGGGAGCGGGTCAGTAAATCTTGGGGGGAAAGAAATCTCGTTTGAGAACAGAAATGGAATTAAATGAAATAAAACTTCAGTACATTTTACTCTTTTATCCATCCCATTTCCAAGCTTAGATCCTTTCGCTTGAAATTTTGGTTTAGTTTTGGGAGATTAGCACCTTGTAGGGAATCCTATGATAACGTCACATCATGGAAAGATTTCAAAGGGTGGTTTATCCCTGGGTGCATAAAAAACTTAGAGTTATGCTGGTAAAACCTTAAGAGGATAAGAGTATAATTTCAAACCGTTATTAGCTAGAGGATGTATTTTAGATCAAAACGCAAGTCTTTGAGGGTTCGTTTGAGCTAACGTGGGTAAGTTTGAACCGACAAGGGTGTGTGTTGCTTGAAATGAGAAAGTTTGTCTGAGAACTTTGTAAATTGTTGCAAAACGTGGTTAAATAGACTTTTTTGGAAAGTTTGTGAAAAGATCAAACGTGATTGGTCAAATGTGATGCGGGAACTCTGTTTTCTTAGAGCAAAATGTCAGGAATGTATTTTCAAATACATATTCTGAAAAAACTTTTAATGGCTCAGCTCACCATATTATCTACAGGCTTCGTAGAGGTTCCGGAAAATCTGGAAAGTCATGGAATTCTATTTTGACATTTTCCAGGAATTGAAAGTCCTGGGAAAAGACTAAAGGCCCTGGAAAGTCCTAGAAATCTGCTTAACTCAAGAAATAAAATTTTCAGAATTTGTGTTATAAGAAATATTTGTTGACTGCAAGGAGAACTGATTTTGAAATCTCGGGAATGAAAGGGTGTAAGGCGGAATTTGGAGTCCTGGAAAAATTAATCCGAGTCGTGGAAAGGTCTTTGAAATTTGTCTCTGAAAAAGGGTACGAATCCTGTCTCAATAGTTCAGTGTTTGAGCATCGGATCGTAAAATCAGAATTTGTCTTCGTTTTCCCATGGTCATGACAAGACAAAAGAAATCTTTCTGTAAGGAGAATTTTTTTTAGTTGCAGGTAACAGTCAGCCTGGCGGATCCAATCCACCGTCCGCCTCTGCCTCACCAGCTCCAGTAATGAATCCTGGCTCTGTTCCTCAGATGGGCTCCCATCCTCATTCTGGATGCAGTACCCCGGTGTCATTCATGGGATCGAATGCTGCCTCCCCTGCATCAGCCCCGAGTACCCCCAGTAACGCCCCCTTACCTCATGCTGCCGCTGGCCAGGTCGCCCACGGGCCCGCGGACAATGCAGTTTCGAGCCCAGTTCCCCCAAACCAAAGCATGATGGATTAATAACAAAAGAGAAAATCATTTGTCAATTGTTTATTTTCTTTGATGCTAGTTTGTGTAGTTTGTTTCTTTGTGAAGTATTAAAACGTTTTGTACTATTGGTATCATTGGTTAAGTTTTGAACGATACCCCAGACGACTGACAGCAGGCTTGTAGCATTCTGTATTTTGTAAATTCTCTTGTATTTTAAATGTATAGCTGAACCCCGATAACTCTAATTCCCCTCAAACTCGAAGCAGAACTGGTGTCCCTTGGATTTGCCTCAAATATTAGATGTAATTTCAACCCCGATAACTCGAAACCCCGCAAACTCAGAACGATTTTTACTTCCCTTCAGGTACTTTTCTTTGTAATTTTACCCTCGATAACTCGAAGCCGATTTTCACTTTTGCGTACTAATGAGCCATAATATTTTGCACCGGAAAATTATATTTGATCTTATTTACTTGTGGTTTTCATGCTTTTGTTTTGTTTTGTCGTTTTTCTGCTCTTACATTGCTAGAAATCGTACAATAAAACGTGTATAAGCATAAAACCTCCAGATCTTTAATCAAGTGTTTCTGGTTTTTTTGTCCAAACCCCAATAACTCAAAACTCCGATAACTCTAAGTAACTTCAATTTCCGTTGACAATTCGAGTTACCGGGGTTCAAACGTAGTGATATAATCCAGCTCCAGTTTTAGAGGATGAGGTTTGTTGTAGATAACGTAATGAAGAAGGTAAACCTCCTCAGAGGAAGGCTTTCACTTGAATTGATTTAAACTCCTCAGAACTGCAGAAACTTGAAATTGTCGAGAAAAATCTTTAGCGGGAACACACCGACTTATCATGAGTGAAACGTTATTTTGATATAACATTAAATTCTTAACGAAACTATTTGGGGCTAGATGGGATAATAAGCTACACTGTACTCGGATATAAAGGGCGAAAGCTTCCCTATGACACAACATCTGGGTCATTCGTAACATTTCTAGCATGCTGTAGCTCAGCTGCTGGGAGGGAGGTTTCTTGCGTCGTTGGCTTGTCACGCTTATCGGAGCTTTAGTGAACTCGTCTATCATGTCTAGTGTGCAGAGGAGATGGTTTGATCCTTGGCATTTCTTTACCCCGCTCCACTGTTGTTGTGGAGACGATTTAGTACACATACATACTGTGCTTGGTCAGCAATTCATTGCTAATTGCTACGCGAGTAACAGGATCACCAACTTGTGAAAAATCTCTGTATTAAATTCTATCTCGCGTTTTGCGCAATTTTTGTTTTGTGAAAAGCGTTGAAGAGGTAGCGGAGGAAAGAGGGCTTCCCAACAATGCAACTGGGATAAAACGTCTCTTCACGCAAGGTTTCACAATTGCTAATTTTCTAATATTTACATCAATAATAGGTGAGAAAATTTCGAGTGAGGATAACAGTGCTAGCGAAGGAAATGAAAGCAAACAGACAAATTTCGAAGGATACATTTCCTAACTGAGTCAAGGTTTGGGTAAATGCGATGTGAGAAGCCGGTATGTCAACCAACGAAGAGCCTCCGAAATGAGTGCGATTCTTCGGCATAGAACAAGATCAGCGACTTGTGCGACCTACAATTTCTCAGAGAAAGATGTTTCGACGAGCGTGGGACAAAAAAAATCTGAGTCCCCATGAGGAAGCAAACCTCAGACCTTCGGATTCCGCGCTCCGATGCTCTACCACTGAGCCACAGAGACTCGACGGTGAGCAAGTTCCTTTACGATGTTCATGCATGACAAGCGTCCTGCATACTTCTAGGATCCGACAATGTCGATAGCGTCATTTTTTGTAAATATATTGTGAATATTCCTCATAGGAACTCGGATTTTTTTCTTTGTCTCACGCTCGTGACAGGACGAAAAACGTCTCTCTCTATTTCTTTAACGAGCTTTAAAATTACCATCTTTCTTATAATATTTACAATCTTTTTGTCCTGCATCTTTCAATGAAAAATAGAAGTCATCCACCCCCTCCAGCTGATCTCCCTCCAGGTATATTTGAAGGAACCCTACATAGAGTAAAGGGGGTAATTTTCAAAGGAAACTGTGGTGCTGCGTCGATGGGGGAGAATAACAAGATAATTTGGTTTCGTCAACTGAGTTGTTAATGTAAATTGGTCACCGTAAAGAGTTTATTAAGAGTAAATTCGTATTCAGTCAAACCTGTGATGAGCAGACACCCCCGGGGAATGACTATTTCATGTACAGAATCTCACTCAAAATTACTTGACAGATAATTCGTAGTTTTACTTGAGTGGTCCACCTTTGAGTGACCGCTCAATACAGATGGAGGACAGCAAAAAGAGGCCTTTGGAATTAGCGAAAGGATAACAGAAGTAAAAATCATTACAGTGATTAAGGCGAAGCAAATTCTGGACTTTGACAACTGACTTCTTTTAAAATTCGGGGTGACTGATAAATACTGGCTAGAGAGTGTAAGTCGTTTCTTATACGCTAATGAGACGCAGAATATTCTCGAAACCTGTTTGGGTACGCGTTGGACTGTTCAAACATGTGGTTACTGTGGTTAGTCGAGAACATTCTGTCGAGACAAAAGGTCATGGGGGTGCACGCGTACGTTTGGGGCTTTTGAATATACTTGCTTTTTTGCTGATTTTTGTGACTTTACAGTCAGTACCATCCGACGGAAACCGCCGAAATTTTCAAGGGAAAATTCAGCAGTCAAGATATTTTTGAATTAATGTTCACAACTGCTCTAACTTGTTCGTCTCGTTAGCATTTATTAACAAACTCAATAGCTTGGAACGAACTCTACAAATTCCCTATATTGAATAAGCGTATTCACAAGTCAAGTTACTGATACATATCCAATCGAAAGGTTATGCAAGCCTCGGGTAGATGTTATCAATTCAAATCACATAATTAACTTTTCATTGATAATCAAAGCGGAGCAACTTTAGAATTCTCGGCCACTCATTTACATCATGCGCTTATATAATCCATTGTAAAAATGCTAAAGAGATACTGACTAAAACCTTAAAATATTTACATCGAGACAATACAAGAAAATTGCGGCAAGAAAGCCGTATTGTTGTGATAATGTTACGGACATTACTTAACCAGATTAAAAGTAGTGGGCTATATTAATAAAGTTGCAAATCAAAAAGAATACTGCCTCAACATTTGGTTATTTACATGTAAGAATACAGAATGTTTCACAGGGAAACTTTAATCCTTACGATCTCAAACAAAGAAGCAATAATTCTAAGAATGCATTCCACAGCAGAGTAGCAAAACACAAGACCACTACTGTCAATGAACACTCACACAAGGGAGTAGATAATCGAAGACATCTCATGAGCTATTGCTTAAACCATTCAGGCAAATACTCTTAGGTAGTAGAATCACTTACTTTCCCACTCTTGAGCGATCAAATTCTCAAAATTCACATCACATATCTACTATAGACAAGACGCTTAAGAGCGTTTAAGCATGAGTTTTTGGCCTGTGTTGTTAACTGCAAACGTGCCTCAAATTTTAGTTAAAAAAAGCACACTGTGGTCAAAATCCTTTAAATAGTTAAGTAAGTTAAGGAGGTTGCGTGAAAAAAGGGTTTGACTGTAATTATAGTACAATCACTTTACCTTTAGGTGGGTCTTCTGAATTTGCACTGATACAGATAACTCCATCCCTAGTCACTGAAACTCCTTTAATGTGGTAGTTTTTCTTCACCTCAAAATGAATGCTGCGATCAATCGTGCCATCTTCGTTGTAAATCAACACTTTTGAGGGAATTTTAGGCTTCTCCGAATGTGAGACAATGACGATTTTTTCACTGATCTGATGGTAAGCTATGGCACGAGCATTAACTACTTTGAACCGCCTATCAGTGTCTTTTTTTTTCAAATCAAATTTAGAATTGCAATCTTTGATCACGTAAACATAGTCCAAGTCTAGTATCATAGCGTGGTTATCACTGGTGATTAGTATATCAACAACGTTACTCATTTCTATCAAGTTCTTGATTGTAGCCCTATTAGCTCCACTCTCAATAGACAGCTCATATTTATATACAAGGTGCTCCCCATCCATCAAATTTTCACTAGGAGAGTCGAGTAAACCGGGTTGTGCGCCTGAAAAAAGCAGCCCATGATCATGCATAACTCTGACGATTTTTCCTTTAATATGCGATTCACCACAATCGAATTTGCTTGGAGAACTGTCGCTCTCTGGCTTCTTAAAAACAAATATTTCATTAGTAAAATGAAAAGTAACGGATGAAATCGTTGTCACTTGCAACACGTAAGCATTGTCATTGCTGTCAGTAGCTAGGCTCTTTAGCTTTCGTTTGTCGACAACACGGTCTGGCGGAGGAACAGTGAGAGAGGACAAGAATTTCCCAGTTGTGTCAAAAACTTTAATGATCCCATCCACCTTGTCGATCACTAAAAAATGTCCGAACGAGTTCGTAGCAATACCAGTTGCTGATTTGAGATTTCGTTGCTCCTCGTCCCCTTGTTGGCCAAAGGACCATGTCGTACAGCAGTGGTCCATATTCTGTTTACGTAGTGTTCTCGCCACTCTTGAGTCACGAAGAGGATCTATTCTCTCGTCGTCAACTTTAATGCAAGGCCAGAGTAAGAGTCGTTTTCCGTCGCCTACCATTTTCGTGACATCATAGACTAGACGATTTATTTGACAGACTGAGGAAATAATCTGCCCAAGTCCTTTCTTCATGATTTTTGCCTTCCACTTTTTCGTGATTGCTAAACGGAAATTTTTCTTAACTTCCTTCATGTTATGAAGTTCTTCAAGGTACCAATGACATGTTGGCAGTACAACTGAAGGACTTTCCACTCTTGCCAGAATGGTCGCCGCCAAACGTAAGTTCATAGCCAAAACACGGTTTAAAAGGGGTAGAGCGTTGTTGTAGAAGGCTTTTGTTGCGAAGCGACGAGCTTCTTTGAAACTTTCATTCGCCTCAGACATCCTCTTTAGTTTTCCAAGATTAGAAATTTGTAGGTTTTCCATTTCCC